ATCTGTCACACAACGCTTGAAATCGATTCGACCAGCAGCTGTTGGGTAAAAAACTGATATGAATTCAAGTCATTCATGATCAAATAAAACTGCTTGGTTTCGATTCTCGATCAAATACCTCAAGTTGAAGGTTGTTCTTCAAATTGTCTGTCTCGTACTCGCGCTTCTGGCCCCAAAACTCATTTTCTACATATCAAGTAGACATATCTTTACGAATTTTAAAGACGCTGCATTTAGTTCGCATCTGCTAATCCGGTGTTGCTTTGCAATGATGTCACGCTTCGAGAATTGGGGTGTCGTCTGTCAGATCACGCGATCACAGACAATTATGCGTCAATCACCTTATACCAAAGTATCAAAAGTACTCAACCGGATGACTGAGTGCAACAACAATAAAATGTCTGTTAAAAAATGCAATTGTTAAGACAAAGTTCCAAAATACTGCAATCCCTTGGCCTGTCACTGCCAAGATCTCATTGGTAATATTCTTTGTTGTCTGTCTGAGCGATAAATGTAATGTGAATCAATGTAGAGTACGTATGGGTCTGTCAATTCTCGGAAAGGGTCAGGCGTGCATTGATCAGCCCCAAAACAGGGAGATAGAACGGAAGAATCGAAAGAAATAACTGCAATGCTTGTTGAGTGACTCAATGTGTTCTATCAGTGTGATATACTAATATTGCGTGTCAACTGCATCTATGCGTGAATTTCTCCTTATTTATAAACTCAGTGGATTAAACTTACCTTCACAATGACCTTTTCTTCGTTCCTCAGTGTTAACTGTAGTATCTTCGGAGAAAGAACGGATTTCTAAATAAAAAATTAACAAGTTAACATGTACAGAGAACCTCATGATCAAACTGTCAACCGCCATCTTGTTGTTGGTTGAGGTTGAGCCGTTAGTCTGTTCACGCGAACTTAATCTCAGTGAAATATTTGTAGTTCTACTTGTTCCATATTTTGATCTATACTTGAGTGCAATGCTTGAATTCTGTAGGATATGTGCGCATTTAAAGATCAAAAAGGAACCCTCGACAAAGGACACCGATAGAAACATTTCAATTTAAGGGTGCAAGGTCTACCACTCGCAAGTGATGGAGCTTATGACAAACATGGTGCGTAATTCGTGTCATATTTTACTTACACTTTAAGCTGAAGCGTCCTTAAGCTACCCTTTGCTTGGAATGGTTTCGGTGTAAGGCCATAAGCACCGAAATTGCTCAGTAAAATTATGCAGCAAACATCGAATTAACTGAGAACTGACATCGACTTCATTTTGCGATTAAGGTATGCCACGTTCAGCTACTTGATGGAAAATTCTTAACAAAAGTCCATTTGTTACCTTTGATCGCGTCGAGGAATTATATTCCTCGCGTAATTTTCGCAAATGATGCGATTAATCAATCGTGTACAATCTATTCGAGGTAGATTTGTGAACCCCATCCGAAAGTAATAACTTGAATGCTTGTTACTAGTAAGTGACTCAATTTGTTCTCTAATGTGATATACTAATTTTACGTGATCAACTGCATGTATGCGTGAATGTTCCCTTATTAATAAACTCAGTGGATTAAGCTTACCTTCGCAATTGACCTTTTCTTCGTTACTCAGTGTTTACTGTTGTATTTTCGAAGAAGGAATGGTTTCTAAATAGGAAAAATAACAAGTTAACATGTACAGAGAACCTCATGATCAAACTGTCAACCGCCATCTTGTTGTTACTTGAGGTTGAGCCGTTAGTCTGTTCACTCGAACTTAATCTCAGTGAGGTATCCCTCCTCCTACTTGTTCCATATTTTGATCTATACTTGAGTGCAATGCTTGAATTCTGTAGGATATATACGCGTTTCCAGGTAAAAAAGGAAAAAAAAACATGTTTCAAGCTCGACAAAGGACGTCGATGGAAACATTTTACTCTAGGGATACAAGCTCTACCACTTGCATGTGATGGAGCTTTTGACAAACACGATGCCTAATTCGTGTCATATTTTACTTACACTTTAAGTTGAAGCTTCCTTAAGCTACCGTTTGCTTGCAATGGTTTCAGTGTAAGGCCTGAAGCACCGAAACTATGCAGCAAACATCGAACTAACTGAGAGCTGACATCGACTTCATTTTGCGATTAAGGAATGCTACGTTTAGTTAGGTGATGGAAAAAGTCTTACCGAAAAGTCTGTTTGTTACCTTTGATCGCGTCGTCTAATAACAATCCTTGTGTAATTTGCGCGAATAATGCAAGTAATCAATCGTGCAGAATCTATTCGAGGGAGATTTGTAGAATACGAGAGACAGTGAACCTCATCGAAGGGGTTTACATTAAAAATTGTGGGCGTTTAACACCAGACAATGACATTATGAGTTATGATATGGGATGCAGCTCATGAAAGGACGAAAACTGATATCGGAAAATTCCCTTGTTGTCATTTATAGCTCCGCTACTAAGGTTACATCAAACAGTACGAGAACACTTAAAGAACGCTTATTTGCTGACAAAACTATTGTCACGCGTGACAGATAACTGTAGGAAGACTACCTCCAGTTTAGTGCGAAAATATACATGGATACAAGTCTGCAGACATTATCTGTTCCAAAATGCGAAGTTTTCTGAAAGTGAAACTCGAAGAAAACTGTGAGCTTCGAGGAACAAATGATGTCCATGGATGAATTTACGAGCATATTTTTCCGCCGAGTAGAGGTTATCGGTGTATATTACCCTTAAATATTTGCAAAACGCGGGAACTTAATTGTTTATGAACAGCTTACCTTTTGCTGCATGGGATGTTCAGTGTTTTCCGGTACAACTTTTTTAACAAACAAACATCTCCCTTCTTCTGTAACAACCACATAAGGAGTATATAAAAAAGAAGGGTTCTGGCCTTTTTCGAAAAAAAAATTATCAAGACTCTTGAATTTTTTTTGCATTTATCACCTTCTCCTTTATCAGTGACCACTTTCATATTTGTAATTGTTTTAATTTTGGTATTTTAAACTCCCTGTAAAATATCATTGCATTAATTAATTTTTCTTTGTAATCAGTAGTGCAATCAGGTTAGTTTACCCTTTCCTCAGGGTATTGTGCTGAGCACCAGATGAGGAATACATTTCTACACATTTTTTGGCCTCATCTACAGAGTGGTTTTTTAGAGGTTCTTCGTTTCCGGCGTAGCACAGATTTTTTTTGTAGTACCCCTGGTTTTAGGGTGCACAAATTAAGATTGTATCAGAATGCGTATACTAAAAGACTGACTGACTCATCCTAAATAAACTTTTCACAATAAATGTCTCGTGTGAGTGTAGTCAGAATTCTAAGTATTCCAAAACCCAATATTCAACCAATTAACGCTCTTTATAATCGACGATAACTCATAGTTAGATAATTAAAGGTCACCTGACGAAGACTATCAGTACACAGTCCAACCTGTATTAAGCGGTCACGAAGAATGGCGGTATAACGGTTTTATACAGGTTGACCGTTACAATTAGGTTTTAAAGAATAGGAGTCAACTACGAAACGATAAAGAACGCCATTGTATGGCATAATTGACCTTAAAATGCACAAAGACTTGCTCAAAAATACTACTTACTTTGAGGATCAATATCAGTAGATAGGAACAGACCCTTATATAAATACTTTGATTTCGGAAGATGAGCATGGATTTAATTTTATTTCAAAGATTTTATTTAGTTTTATTTAAGTACTTCCGATTTAATTGACTGCTCAACACAGGTGAAAAACAATACAAATAGGCCCATGGGACTCACTCAAAGGTGACCATGACCGCTAAATGGGGGTGACCGCTTCATGGGGGTGAAGATTACAGTGATTTGGAGACATCAAATTGGAGTCTTTGACAACCGACTGCTTTATACAGGGTGACCGCTTAATACGGTGCTTCCTAATACAGGTTCGACTGCACAAGTCGGAACTTCACGATCAACACAATTCATAGCTTAACTCTAAATCTTGAGACAAACGATTAAACGATCAATTATCTACAAAACCACGATGAACAACAGCATTTTTTAAGACAACATCGACCGATTGTCCAAACCCTTCCCGGCCCCGCCTCCGGAAGTAAACTACGACCGGTCCCTAACTTCAAAAAGCCCCCCCAGTTAAACTACGATTCCAAGGTTTGTTAACATGACGACAATATGTTAGAAGTGGTATTCTCATCCTAGTTTCTACAATCTCAGAAAAAGGAAACCTCAGCTGGCTGAGATGGTGAACATATAAAGTTATCTGAATGCTGATAAATTTGTGGTTTCCTCGCGCTCTTGCGCATGTGAGATGTCGGCTCTGCCATTTTCGTGTTTGAAACTCTCCCTTTGGAAATTTACGCTGTTCGTTTTAATGCTTTAAATGCGTTGTGGTCCACGGTTTTCCTCGTTCAGTTGCATTGGATTCTACCGCGCTGCACAATTAGTAATCTCTCCGCCAGTGTGCTACGCACAACCGGAAAGACGCACCAAACCACGCCTTAACTATGGTGGGAAAGATGTGGCCGCAAATGAAGCCTAAATTACAATAATCCCACGCTCGACAGCTATCGCAAAGTTGCCAGATATCTCCAATAAGTAACAAGTTGACGATGACAGGGAAATGAGAGTGTCTCATGATAAAAGTGATAACGAGCAATTTCAGAATTAATTTCAAGAAGAAAATATTGTGAAATTAACATCTCGGCAGTTTTTTCTGGTAACGCGACCACCAAAATGGGCTTCTAACAAGATGATTTTAATTCCGAAACAAAATACTGAGCGATGTATACAAAAAGTGAATTTTGGACTTAGCTTAATATCGTGGCAGAGTTTGAGGGAAACCTATTTTTCAAGCCGAAATTCAGTGGACGTCCATTTTTAAAGGGAATGTGAACTAATATAAGCAACAGCTCCTTGCAATAGAGAAGATGAACGTTATTGACTAAAGCTCTCTCTTCAATCGATGTAGAATTTTCAACCAACACTCTTCAGTGGAAATAACACTTTATTTACATTTCTTAAAGTCATGTACAGAGGCAAGATTTTTTTTCTTTTACAAGAAATAAGGATAACTTTTAGAAAGTTAATTTCTACTCTGGTTTTATAATTTCCTTCTGTTTAAGACTATCCTCAAACTTATCAATTTCTGCCATGGCTTCGACGGCTTCGTCATCTTCTTCACTGGACTCTCTATAAATACATACCAAAATTTGGAAGAAATGGCATCAAGACTACACAGTAAAAAAGAAAAAAAAACAGGAAAAAACAAAGAGAGTTTCCCACTTACGAGATGTTGAAGACATGTTCTTTGGGCTGACGATGTGAGATTGCTTCTTTCTGCTCAGGGGGAAATTAAAAGTAAAGCATCTATCATTATTTATCACGGGGGGGGGGGGGGAGAAAAGAAAGAATGAAGGAGGGGGAGGCACAAGGTTAATTTCAGGGTGATACAACAAAAATCCTCCCACCCCCTCCCTAGACAAAATATATAGTGACTGGTCCCAAACATGACAAAGCCTGCATGGATGGCAGTACACACGCACACACAACAAATAACTGGATATTAGCAGTGGACAATCCGTGGGGTGGCTCTTCCTGTCCACTTTCACCAGGTTGAGTTGGAATTTAGAATGTTGGTATTTTGCCAAGGGAGGAAAACTGGAGGACCCACAGAAAACCCCCTGGTGCAAGGACAAGAACCAACAACAAAGTCAATCCACATGTGACACCAGGTCCAGGATTTGAACCCAGTTTACAGTGGTGGAAGGGGTGGGAGGGAAGCACTCTCACCACTGCACCATCCCTGCTTCCACAATTAAAGCCTAAAAGTTTTAATTAAGGTTCAAAAATTGCTATTCACTTCCATGAGAAAACCAAAGGTCTGTGTTTCAGGTAATATAGCATTGAATTGCAACCAGCCCCTTCTTTATTTTCTTGAATCATGATTGATGCTCAAAATCACAATATTTCAAAATTTCAGCCTGGTTCCAGCTAGGAATGGGTCTCTATTCTTTCCTTGCACCCGACCCACCCCCCCTCATTTGCCTTCTCACTAAAGGGAGTTTAGTTGAGAAGGAAGAGATCATGACATTGAAGTAAGTGATTACTGATTTAAACTTCTTTATGACAATGATTACCTCAATTTTTCCAAAAAGTTTTGGGTATCATCCACACTGTGTCAGGATGCTATATTACATGAACAATATACTTTCAAGAAGAAATAAAAGGGAAACTCATCTTAAGCAAGAACAGTTGTACCTCAAATTAAGGTAAACCTGATATGAATTCATGGGTAGCACTATGCAGAATATTTTCTATTTTTTTTTGGTCAGGTCAGCCTCTTAAGGTTGCAAATTCTGATTACTGAGCTATTCTGCAATACATCTGGTACAAACTTAGCTGGCATCCCCACAAAAGTCCTCCCCAATTGATCTGCTATATTTAATCCTTTAACTCCTGTGAGTAACCAAGACAGAATTTCTCCTTTCAATATCAATACAATAACCAAGCAGACAAGTGATGAAAATAAAGAAAAATACCAATTATGGGATTGTAAGTTGATCCAATACCAAATTCTCCAAACTAACATCACATGAACTGTATGGCAGACAGTAAGGAGAATTACTAACAAGATCTTGGGAGTTAAAGTGTTATCAATCAGTCCTCTATCTTAAACCCATTACACTCTAACATCAGTATCAACATTCTCCATACTGTCCTCTAAACATTTCTTAAGGTCTCTCAAGGAGAATTTGTTTAACAATCAAGAGCTTCTTTTCCTGTATTCTTATAGCCTTGATGTGTGATTCAGGGGTGATATTGTAAGAAGAAATTAAATGCTAGTTGTCATGTCCATTGTGTTATTTCCACATAGCTTTACTTTTCAAGGCTGCCATATTGGTGCATGTGTTATTGAAGAATTTAGCTGCATGTGATTATCAGAAATAATTCTGGAATATTAATGTTACGTGTCAGTTATCTTTTTGAGAAAGATTGTTGAATGCAAAGTGCACACCAAAGAGGGAGGTACATGTTTGGGAAAGTTTGCTAAGGCTCTCAGAGAATTTCTGAGTTTAATTTGTATTACTGTAGTGTACTTGGAAATCTGAGGATTGATTAGGAAGCCTTTGCACTAGTCACTCTGGGGGTAAAGGGTTTATGAAGGTCCATATATAACATGCATGCTCTCCCCTGATTCCTAAGGCTGTGCTAATGCTATGCATTGCATAATGCATCTTCTTATTATTCCTTCCTATTTGCTATGCACATCCAATGGCAAAAAGGGTCACCTCACCTTTAATCTCTCAGCCTTCCTTTCGGCCAGCATTTGTTGAGCTTCTTCTCTACATGACATCTGCAAGATGCAAAGCCGGGCACTTCAAATTAAAATCAGTTTAGACATGACCTGCTAAAGCTACTGGCTAACATTCATAATTCATATTTTGCAATTTTGTGACTGCATTATAACCTGATTAGCCTGTGGCTAACTATAATCCTGATATTTTGCCACACCCAAGGATCTTAGCTGACCATACTGGCCTGTTTGTATAGATAACAACATGATTTTGAATGCAATTTGGTGTCACTAAACATGAATTAATTTTTCAAAGACTGCAGAATTGCATGCATCCATAGGACTAGTACTATTGTAGTCTTTGAAAAATTTACCAGTGCTTATTTAAACCAAATTGCACAAGAAATCATGTTGTTACTTGTTAATAATTTACATGAAAAACACATCACAGAAAGTCAAGATGGGTTAAATTTTGGCTACACCCACCTGCTATTTGTAATTTGCACTTGTGTTACAACTTTGCATTCGAGTTACTTTGCACTTGTGTTACATGAGAAATATGTGTAATTTTTTCATGTAAATTATTAATAAATTAATTATCTCTATTTATATCAAGCCAGAGTGGCAAGAGTAATGTGAAGTACCAGCAAAGGGAACTAATATTCCTCGTAGTTGTACCCAAAGTGAACATGAACCAGATAAAAACTTAATTAAGTCACTTTAGCTCTATATTTGAGTGTCATCATCATCCATCTTTGATTCACAAACTACATCTGACATATATATTCCACTATCTCTGCTACCACACAGAACACAAATAAAAGTTTTGAGGTACATGCAAAACTATACATGAAAAAATTAGTCTAAATTTAGTTATTAAAATTTAAATTAAAAAAATTATTCACTTCTCATTGGCTGAAAATGAATGCATTCTCATGTAACACAAGTGAGTGCAAATTACAAATTGAGCTTGCATGCTTTCAAATTTTGTCTGTCTTGACTCTGTGATGTTTTTAGATGTTTTTTTCATGTACATTATTAGTGAGTGATACTATACTTTCCCTTGTCATTTTGTGTAATAAGCAGTCTTGTAAATTTTCAAAGACTACAAATTGCACTTGCCCTACCAGCTCATGCAATTTGGTTGTCTTTGTCCTAGTTAACACCAAATTGCACTCATGATCACATTATTACCAATACAAAACTGCTGTAAACCAAGCAGCGAGGGCCCAAAGCAAAGGAAATTAATTATCATGACTTAAACTTTACAAAAAATATGGGGAAAGACACAACAAGTGGCAGGCTACACAGATCTAACACATCTAACAGTTCAAGGTAAATTGTGTAAGTCATAGTGTATGTCAACAAAACTATCTATCTAAGCTGTAAAATACTACCACAATTGTAAAAATCATCTCACTATTTTTTGCACATTATAAGTCAGCTCATTCCTGTTCTTTCCTTTTCTGGGCATCCTCCAAATGTGTTTTAAGTTCTAAAGACATGATGAAGTTTATTGAACTTACAAAGTTCAAGTGAATTTTTTTTATAATTAAAGCCTAAGAATTTAGACCTTCAATTGACGAAAAGAGTTACGAGTTTTAACTGAAATTGACTTACTTGGATCATTTTCCATTTCAAGGGAAGTTGTGTGCATCTGATAGATACCAACTAATCTCTTTCCTGCAAAGGGATCAGTTTGAATTTCCATTTACCTAGCATTGTTGAACCAAAGTTGAACCCACTTCAAAGAAGTGATCAGCACGTAACTTCTCCCTATAATTTCCACACATCATCCAACAAACAGGTTATGAGAATACACAAACTTATCAGGTAGCAGTTATCTTGATCCAACACCAAATTCTCTTAACTAATTTACAGGGAAAAGGAGAGAATTAACAATCACATCTTAGGAGTTAAAGGGTTAAGTGGATAAAGTGTAATAGAGCAACACATCGACAAAAAACCAACAGAAGCATCCCAAAAAGCATTCAAAGTAACCCATTGAATGCGCGTAAAAAATTGCCATAACGATACATATTTAGCTTTCGATTAAGAAAAGTACGAATACGATACGAACTTATAACTATAAAAAATCGTTGCACAGGTGAAAAAAGTTCTAAAAAGATCAGAAAAGATTAGAAATGCAGGTTACTTGTACAGTTCCAAAAGTTCTTTAATTGATTAAGCTTTGTCCTTCAGCACTTTCGTCAAATACTCGCTTGGCAAATGAATGCCACCATCTCGATTGCCAGCGTCTACTTCCCATGATTCTAGAAAGCGGCGGGGCCGCCAATTTGCAGTTGAGCATAATACAAGATCTTTTAGGAGAGGTAAGCTGTTTAGTTCCAAGACTTGTTTTAAAACAGTGTTTTAACGAACCTTCTCCAACTTGAGGTGCTCTTTTTAGGCGGTGGTTTATTCCACTGACAGCTAATGTAGACTTCTGTTCCGGAGGAGGGTTTTTACACTTCCAGAAAGCCTTTGCCTTCTCGATAGTTTCTGCAGAACTTCCCGAAAAGGACACTCTATAGCCACGTCCACCATGATGTTTTTGTTTTCGTTTCCAGGGATGCACGGTAACAAAGTTTACCTTGCACAGACCACCCACACTGTTTATGCACAGCTTCCCTTACATCTTTGATTTCTTATGTCCAGTGTTTAGAGTCACTTCACTTACTTAGCATATTGGAAAAAGAGACTTTGCAATTAGAAATTCGATCTTAGATGTTTTTCTGGTTCATTTAAAATTAGTCCAGTTTGTCAATCTATCATCCAGTTTACAACTTTCCAAACCCATGCAAGATTCACAGATTGCATGAAAAACTTGTTTTAATAAACAAAAATGAGGTAAAAGTAGGTTCCATCACCTCTTCTCCTTGAGATTTGTCAATTGCATAAAAAGAAAAAGGCAACATTTGCCAGGAGTCAATTTTTCTAACAGTGTGCTGGATCATTCTATCATTTCTTCATCAACCCTGCAGCCTTAATCAAGCATTGATCAAACATTGACCTTGCAACCTTAACCATAAATTATAATCACGCATTTAATAACCCTATAACCTTAATTAAACATTAAGGCTGCAAGAATGGAGGAACTGTTCACCAGCTCAAGAGGCTTTTGATTGTTAAACAAATTCTCCCTCTCAGCAACTTGGAAAATGCATAGAGAAAATGGAGAAAATACATACTGATGTTGGGGTGTGGAGGGTTAATTTTTGCAAACTGTTGTCAGTTAAAGGGGGTTACATAAGGGGAAGACTAACAGCTGCACTTGGGGATCAGGTGAAGAATCCTAGCATGGTAACAATATAATTAATATGCTTTACATGATATTCCATTCTCTGTCTATGGGAATCCTGCAAAGATCCTAGTGAGGCCCCATGAGGGGCTCAGTTAGCTGTTGTGGTAGGATTCCCACACAATGGGAAATGGAATTTCATGTGAAGTATCCTATTAAAGAAAGTCTGGAAAAATGCAAAGGAAAACCAAATGGAAATAAAAAGAGGGAGGAAACATAAGGAGAAGGAAACACCAATGTAAAATGCCTAAATACAAAAAAGAAGGAATTTAAGTTTGACGCAAAAAGTCACTGCAAAAATTAAACACTCATCTCCCTTACAAGATGCAAGATTATGTGATCATCTATGGAATTTGTCTACACTTAAGGCTGTGGAAACTTTAGGGAAATTTGTTTTGTTAGTTGTCACACAAGAGAGATAAAAAAAGAGGGGGTTTCCACTTACCCTCCTACTTTGGATCAATATATTCATGGGGTAAAAAGATTTAAGAAATGCTCAATCTTCAAACCAGTAAATGCTGATTACTCATGATAATTAAGCAGAGATAAGAGAAACTTGAAGTCCTCTACACCTCTATAATTGTTCCTGTACAGTTTTCTTTTCTTACTGCACATTTACAAGCTAAGTGGAGTACTTATACAAACAGGCCACCATAAAGAGTTTAAAAGCTGACATTTAGAGCATTAGCCCTTAGTCAGAACATAGTCTTTGCCAATTGCTCTGACAAAGGGCTAATACTCCAAACGTAAGCTTTAAAACTCTTTATGGTGGCCAATTTGTTATCAACTCAATTGACAGTACTAAATTACCCTGATATACCCTCCCACTGATGCAGCATCACAGTTTCTTTAAACTTACCCTCTTTATCTACTTGTACAAACAGATGATAGAAATGCATGTCTCTTGATGATAATAATGTTATAGATACAGACAACCTTAGAAATATTTACTACCTTATTCAAGAATTTCTGTATCAGGCCCTTTGGCAGTGAAGATGAGTAAGAGAGCTGGTAAGCTACAAACAGCTGTTGTGCTTGTCATGGAAATTACCACAGCCCATGCCGTTCTTTACACACACTCTCCTTCTCTCATTTCCACTGACCATGAGAATGACAAAAGCTAAAATTATTTCTGCTATTTTCTGTCTAAGTCTTCTTCTTAAGAGATTCTATCCTGCTTGATATTCCATCATTCTTGTCCAATAAGACCTGAAAGAGAACATTATAAAGGTAAAGAAATCCACTCTTAACACCTAAGATCTGATTTTTAATTCTCCCCTCTGGCTGATACACATTTCCTTGTGAATTAGTTATGAGAATTCAGTGTTTGATCAAGATTACAATCTCTACCTGATAACTTTCAGTATTCTCATTACCTGAGAATATATACAATACCAAAGGGGGTATAGAAAAGATAAAAAGTAACCCTCAGGTATACACAACCCAAGAGGGGAGAGACGAGATTAAAAATAAACCCCAGGTATACACTACCCATTTAAGAGGGTATAAGAGAGATTAAAAATAACCCTCAGGTATACACTACCCAAGAGGGTATAAGAGAGATTAAAAGTAACCCTCAGGTATACACTACTCATCAGAGGGTATAAGAGAGATTAAAAATAACGCTCAGATATACACTACCCAAGAGGGTGTAAGAGAGATTAAAAATAACCTTCAGATATACATTACCCAAGAGGGTATAGGAGAGATTAAAAATAATCCTTAGAACAGTATATGTATCTAATGCAAAAGAAGTTGAAATTAATTATTTTTCTCTACAATATCTAGTAATTTTTGGCCAAGTGACTCTTCATGCAGATTCAGATATTTACTTGAGTATCCATGATTACTGACTGAATTGGACAACACAAAGTCTAATTGTCACCAATTAATCATAACCATTACAATTTCTGGAAGATCAAATGCAAAATTTTAAACTGAATGTGCTTTTTAAACTCTGTGAATAGTGGATTTGGCTGAGTGGACTTACTAACTAGTATGATTGGCTGCTTTAACTGTCCAAATACAGCTAGCCATGTCCAATCAATGCAGTCAAACCTTGATTATCTGGACCTCCATTATCCAGATTTTTCCATTATCTGGACTTGCTGCTCTGGTCCCATTTTCTACCAACATTTATACTCATATCTTTGATTCTCCCAACTCTGGATTATCCAGACTATAAAGCCCATGATTCCCCACAAGTCTGGATAATCAAGGTTTGACCATACAGCCAACTGTCTGGTTACACTGTCAGATTAAAACACTATAAAAATAACTATAGAAAAATAAACCATCTAACGCACCATTTACATTTGAGGATATTAAGTAATGGTTATGATTAACCCTATGATTCCCAAACTTCTAACAGACAGTTATTGAGAGTAATTTTTTACCGAAATTAGAGCCTTTCATATTTTAGAAAAGAGAGATGATCTTAATAACATAAACAAACCTCCTTACACCCACAAAAAAAGAACATAACCAACTGCACATATATCAATAGACTGAGTAACATAACATTAAGTAAAGAAAAGTGGTAATATTGAATGCCACACAAATGAGTGATATAAACAAAAAAGTGCAATTAAGACTTAAAAGCTTGTGTTCTATTAACAGATAACACTACAGAAACAAAAACATTTTCACTGTACAGCAGCAGGAGTAATATTATAACAATAGAACCCTTAACCCTTTACACCCTAACATCAGTGTTCATATTCTCCACACTGATCTCTCTACATTTCCTGTGGTAATGACAAGGAGAATTTGTTTGACAATCAGGAGCTTCTTAAAATGGTGATTATTTCTATTATTCTTACAACCCTTACACTTGATTCAAGGGTGATACTGTAAGGAGAAATTAGAAGCCAATCACTCTTAGGGGTTTAAGGGTTAATAAACTGGTGAAAATCTTCCATCTGGCTTTTAAATGCATATTGATTATATGGTCACATGTTAGAGGATTGGACTCCAGTGTTAATATCATGGATCATGTATTAATAACAGACATGTTGGATTGGACTCCAGTGTTAATATCATGTATCATGTATTAACAACAGACATGTTGGTTATTGAAGTAAATATTGTGTTCAGTATGGTGAATGGCTTCATGTACAAATACATGCACAGACAGCAAGCAATTATACTGTAGGTAAATTATACTGTTCTCAAATGTATTTCTTTTTTCAGATTAGTTTGAATGCTGTTTAGCTGTACAAATATTATATGCAATAATCACAGCCTGCATGAAGAATAAGCTGTGAAACTGACTTTCTTGGTCCTCCTCCCCCCCCCCCCCCATATTTAATTTCCAGTCCAGACTCTTCCAAATTCTTTGTCTTAAATTCCCAATGAAAATTCCAACTGATTGAAAGCTAGAATATCATGACAGATGCTTGTATCCTAACACTTTCACTTCCAGATCAAATTTGTAATTCTCCTTACTGTCAACCATACAATTCTTATAGTAATGGTTCAGAGAATTTAGTATAGAATCGACTAATTATCCCGAAATTGATCTTTTTCTTAATTCTTATCACTTATCTGATTAATATTGTGTAGACATTGTAAGGAGAAATTCTGTCTTGGTCACTCATGGGAGTTAGCAGGTTAAATTGTGCAGGAAAATCATGTTCATTTTTAACATTGCAGTAACGAGGGGAAATTAATTTTTAAAATAACTCAGCTTGAAGAATACTTCCCAAGTTTCTCCATTTGAAACCAATTCACTTTCGATTTCCACTTTCACCAGTATCAATTCTCGAAAATAAATTTGACTCTAGCACGTTTGCGTTATACGTTCGACAAAAAAACCTACCTTCGAAATTCAGATTTTACATACAGTAAAATTTAGCTTACGCATACCAATAAGCTTGCTGAGTTTAGAGAACTGCATGGGAAGCTGTGTTAAGGATTACTGACGGTGTGCGTTTCTTTATGTGCAATTCGTAAATGTCCCCACATAGTTATTTAATGATGTTTTGTTAGAAGCATTCTTCTTACCTTTAGCTTTAAGCTTCTCTCCTGATGTAGACACAATCTGTCAAACAACGCTTGAAATCGATTCGACCAACAGCTGCCAGAAAACACATCGATTCTGTGTTGCTTTGCAATGATGGGATGCTTCGAGGACCACGCGAACACAGACGATCATAATACGTCAATCACCTTATACCAAATAATCAAAGGCATTCATCCGGATGACTGAGTGCATCAGAACAATGACATGTCTCTAAATAGAATAAGACAGATAAGTTTTGCGCTCGGTAAGATAATAGAGAGAGTTATTTTTTCGTCTTGCCATGAGCGTGGGACAAAGTAAAACTTCCGAGTCCCTACGGGGAATTAAACCTCAAACCTTCCGATTTCCGCGCTCCGGTCAGCTTCTCCACTGAGCCACAGAGACTCCACAGTGAGCGTGTCTAGTTTATGGCACGCGTCCTGCAGACGGTTAGTTTCGAGACGCTTAGTTAATGCACACTTTATTATAGTTTTTGTTCTGGTTCATTTATTATCAATAAGTCGTTGGTTAGTCAATAATTATTACACAATAAGTTTGTTATCTCTGATCAATGTCCCATGTAAGTTCACGTGTAAAGATTTTACCTCAGTCATCGCTACTAAATCATCGCTGTTAAATCGTCGCTGCTCGATAATCGCTACAGGCTATTTGCTACCGTTACGAGCCAGATCAAAGTAAGCCTTTATTTCTTTTGCATTTACGTTGTTTACCTTTTGTATGTATTATTGGTGTAGTTCTCGTATTCAGTTTTCTGTGCAATCGCTTCATTTTTAGTTAGGTAAATAGGTTACATTTCGAAACGCATTTTTCTTAGTTTAGTTTCTGTTATATTTTATTTTAGTTCGAACCACACGCAACCTCAACCGCTGCTCTCATCAAGCAAAATTACGTCTCAACGCTATCATCTAAATGTAATAAAGATCACTGTGTGCGTTCGAATTGTCCCCTCAGTCACTTAGGTAACTTTTCGAGGTTATACATACAGTTAGGATCAGCAATGTCGATAGCGTCATGTTTGTAAATACAATAAGACAGATGATAAATTTTGAGCCCGGTAACGTGATAGAGAGAATTGTTTTTTCATGTGAAACTTCGCTCTAGATCTCGCTCGCCGTGGAGTCTCTTTGGCTCAGAGGTAGAGCATTAGAGCGCGGAACTCCGAAGGTCAGAGGTTCAATTCCCCATGGGGACTCAGAATTTTTTCTTTGTGCCACGCTCGTGAAAAGACGAAAAAACGTCGCTCATTATATCATTATTACGCTCCCAGACAAAATTAGTTGGTACACTTCACCAGAGCAACGTCTTTGAAGTTCTTTCACCCTCTCCCACCTTCAAATGTTGCTGGTTGCCAACGTTTCTATGCCATCTAGCAGAACCAACTCACTGTTATTCCTGTCAAATGACGAAGTCAAGGCTGCATCTCCGATTTCGACCGTTGTCCGCGCGGAGGTGGTTTGCGCCCCGAAATTCCTCCCGATCAGCATTTTTCTCAGCCATACTTTACGATCTAAGATCACTGTCTAAAACAATCTAAGATCACAATCTCAATACCAAAACTCCCTGCGCATTTCGCTAGAAACGAACGTTTCCTACCTGCATTTCATAGTCCGCTTCTTTCTGGTTATGCTCTTGACAAGCAGACTGGACACGGCCGCGGAAGAGACTTGGTTACGATTTCAATTTTCTCTCTACCGCGAGTGGTACGGTCGATCAATGTACAATGCTTACCCCATCCTCTGAGACACCACGCCTTATTCTATGGTCCTGATCAACCAATAAGACAGCGAGGTGAAACTAAAACAAATCCCCATTTGTTCGAGGGCCGAATAGCACCAACCCAAGGATAATTAAGAGCAACGGTCAGGAAATATCGACCATTGAGTGGCAAGAGTTGAAAAATGAATTTCGCTTATTTTCTGACTATAAAAAGCTACTAAGAATAGAAGCGGAGCGCTTTAATTCTGAGAAAACTGAGAAAAACGAATTTGACCGGCGACGATCCCGAAAGGTCCCGCAAGCAAGTGTGAAATTGATATTTTAAAGTGACTTTTGGTCTTCAAGGAAAAACGATTCAAAGGATTATGACACCGAATTTTGATAGAGTGAGTGCCGTACTTTCCCAGAAACTATATGACTTATCTTTATTGTTGTTCATAAATAGCGTTAAACAACGCGCAGGAAAGTGCTGTATTTTCAAACGTGAAAAATCCCGCAAATACCTCCTTAATTCAAATGTTTTTTTCACCATGTGATATAATTCAGATTTTCCTTTTAACTATGTCATTAGAGGGATTTAAGGTTGTCCTTGATAATATGTTAGAATCAGCATGGGTTTTCTTTACAGCGCCTCACGCGAAGGTTTTGAAATGACCGTAATTCATTCAAATTTTTTTACAACGGCTGAGTAAACAATTCTTGTTGCGTGACCGTAACGTCAAGCGGAGTTTTTACACAGCAGGCCGGAATATACACGAAAGCGTACTGAAAACGATTCTGATGTGAGCTTTTCGTCCTTTTTTATTGAAAAAAAGGTAGTCGGCCAAAGAGAGGTTGTTTTATCTCATTGTTAAAGTGTGAAGTTTCCCTTTTCAGTGTAAGATGTTTTCCCTGATAAATATCAGGATGTAATTTGATTAGCTCTCGGCTAACCTGTTTAACTTTTATACTTGTTTTTTTCGCTTCCTTTGGTTTCAGAAGAATCGGAACAGAAAGACAAAAATTATAGATGCTTTTTAAATTAATATTTTCTTCAATTGTGAGGATTCATTTTCATTATTTGTTGAAGAAATGACAGAGTTGGCTAAAGCTCGAAGCAGTTTACTAGCCGTAGTAAATTGAATTAGTCAATTAAATGCAAAGAGGGAAAATTTAATTAGCGAAGTTGGAGTGAATTTGTTTTGCCAGCTTTGTGTCATCATGGACGTTAAGTGCTCTTTTAGATCCTTAGTCGACGAAAAGTTCTTGCTCTTATGACCCAGAGATAGGAGCAGATCAACTGAGGTTATTACATTTCTGAACTGCAAAAGAGACATCGCGGTCATAAGTCATAACTGACGTAGAAACCGAAATCGAACTTATTTTGGGAAGAGTATCTACATCCTTTTCTTCGGAG